TTAAAGGATTATTTTATCTACTTTCCAGTAATTCATTACCGAATCTGTCTTCAATTTCATGATCAACGCAACTTTGCCATTCCTTCATTCACCAACGCGCCATCGTGCAGTTGCCAAAGCATTCGGTCTGGGACTAAATCATCAAACCTAGCAACTCCCCCTCCTCTCCCTATTCACTTCGTTTCACTTCCCCCTCTCTCCCTTCCCTCCTTCCTTCCCCCTCCCCCACCCCTCACCTTCTGCACGTCTTCGCTCCTTCGGATTGGCTAATTCAGTGTGTAAGTTGCAGCCACATGAGGGGCGGAAGGAAAGGGGGTTAATCACTGAGGCAAAAAGGTCAAGACGGTAAGAAAAATGCAGCGGTAAGTCCTGCCCTGCCCTATATAAAAACGGAGCACCATAGCATGTTAAAAAAAAAAAAACATTGACAAAAGACGGACTTTGTCTCTGTACTGGACATAAAATGCTGCAATCATGTGACGGTAACGCACACTTCACACACACGAAATTTTAGATAAATCAAAACAATCCTTAATAGACCTGCCAAATTCTTTCGTTCTACTGTCTCCAGTGTCACCCCACGTCCTGCCTCCACAGTCAGGGTGTCGAATCGCCTCTGTCTCTAATGTGTACTGCGATAAAGTCGCAACTTACCAGATGAACATTCCTACGCCTCACCCACCTTTCCAGGGTCGTAATGGCAGAAGCCGAAGGTTCACAAGCGAAGCAAATACCAACATGGCCTATTTTTTTATGGCCTAATCAAATTGCAAAGCAATCTACCTCCTTCACCACGCGTCATTATCAAATTTCACGGTTGACACAACAAACCTCCATGTCACCGCAACTTCTAGCCTGAGCGGAGAGTGAGTGCGTTCCCTTTCATTGAAATTACAGCTCCCGTTTGTTCTCTTGTCTCTCAATGCAATGATAAAATGCAACCACCTTCTCCACGTTTCTTGCTTTTCATCGCACCAGTTGTGGTGTCGCCACTCGCATACGCTGAATGACTGATGCTGACACGATTGATGTTGAAGAGTTCAAGCGCCCACGTCGTGAACCTGCATCGTATTCCTTCAAAAATCAGCTCTACTGTTTCATTTAACAATAAAAAAAAGTGACAATCCAGAAGATGACCAATACCAACTAGGAAAAAAAAGCATTGACCACCAGCTCTACCGAATCCCAGAGATCCTAACAACGACAACTGTTAATATACCGTTTCACAGAGAAGACTATGCAAAGGCAAGGTCAAGACCTTTGTTTGAATGATGTGAGTGATTCCAAACTCGTTTAAATGGTTTAAATGCGTCTTATCATTGACTGGAGGTGGGAGAATTGACAGAGCAGAGTGCAGCTATTCGCCATCAAATCGCCGTTGAGTTTGAATTGGCTCCCTCACTAATTCACCCAAAATCAGCATCAGATGCAAGGAAGGTGTATATCTCGTTGATTTAGCAATACTTTTACCAGACAATCAAGCAGATGCAATGACAATAACCACACTCAAATCTTGTAGCAGTACAATAAAGCGGAAGGAGAGCATATAACCTTCAAAGGCTGTGAGAAGAGAGCCACAACTATCTTGTAAAATTTGGTTATCACACGCTAAAGCCCTGTATTCGTGGTTTGTTTACATTAACCTCCAAGGTGTAGTAGTCGGATGAAAAAAAAGGACTCCAGGGTTTTCGATTCGCTTTTGCACCTCTCTCTCGCTCTCTCTCTCTCATCTTCCATTTTTGCATTCAAAAGTTAAATGCCTCTTTGACACCTCATAATTTCAAATTAAAAAAAAAAACACGGATTCAATATTGGACGATGGAGGAGAAGGAAAGAAGTAAGGAAGACCACTGCCTTCAACAATGCCAATAAGTTTGCTCAAAAAAAAGAGAGGAAAAAAGAATAAGATACCGCGTTACTAATTACATTTTCCATTTATGTGTTCCGATTGGGAAAGAATTAAGCAAACCGCAATTAGATCACGTGCAAAAAGATCTGTTGCTTACGCTTCCACCCCCTCTCCCCTTCTCCCTTCCTCTCCCTCCCCCCTCCCCCCTCCCTCTCCTTCAGTAATGGGTGAGAGAGTCTCGTGATCGAATCTCTTTTTGTGCCATTTGTGCCTACTTTTTTCATTGCATCACAAAACTACATTTCCATTAGCTATGATATTGCACACAAGATCCAACAGCCAATGCAGCCCCTGTCTACTGATTTATGGCAAAGTGGAAAGGCAAATCGTATGTCGACTCCTGCCTGGAGTACAGAAATCGCGAGTCATTCCTTTGAAGGTGTGAATGCAATCTGGCGGACGTCAGAAGCACTCTGAATGATGCATTAGGATGACATGGGAGAGGAAGCTTCATCTCCTGTGGCAACCACGACGTGATTCAAAAAAAAAGCTGACTGAGTGATGATGAAATTAGGGTGCCTTCACCTTTGATGTCATACGTATGTGTACATGTTCTCCTGACACCTAGTTTGCACGAAACTAATGTGTAAGAGAGCAGCTGGCGTGCTAATCGGCTGCAGTCATATGATACACCCGGACCAGAAGTAAATAGCAACCCACATGTGACCCACCACCCCTCCCACTGCCAGTGGGGATGGGGTTTGGCGCCCCTCTTAACCCTCAAATGGGCGTCTAATGCCAATGAATGATACGCCTCCTCCATTGACCTTTCCAAGAAAGAATTCGTTCAACGGATCATTCTGCCTTAAGCTGATGCTAAACTTAAAGGCGAGAGGATTGTTTTTTGTCTGAAGTTGATAGATAAAGTGGTGTATAGCAAGGTAGTCCTACACGTTTCTGCAATTCCATTTCGTAAAACTGACTCCATGGAGCATTAGCAAGGCCGCCTCATGGTGAAATAGCAGGAATTCGGTCTATACCTGCCACGGCAGATCTGAACAACTTTGACGATCCCAAATGAAAAAAAAGTGAATCCAATTTTCAAACAGCTCGGGTAGCCTGCTTCTAAGAAATGGTTCAGTGAGAGGGAAATTTGTTTGCTAGGGAACAAGAAGGTGATATGCTCTGCGAAATTGCCAACTATTTTGGTGTCAGGACAGGGGAGTTTAGGGCGTAAACAAAAACTCCAAACTCCACACAAATGTAAAAGTCACCCAAATGGCCCAAACAAAAGATCATGCTGACAGTCCTTTGTGGGAGAGATGATTGACAGGAAGCAACGAAGGCAAAGAAAAGAACGATCCATTAGACCCTTGATAAATTAAAGGATTGAGAGCGGCAGCAGGAAAAATCGTCCACCTCCAAACCAATTTCTGTGTCCACCCCAATGAAACCACACAAAAGGTTACCGTTTCGAAATACCCAAATTCGTAGAGGGAAAAATCGCCCTCATGAAACAATGCGCAAAGGGAGAATAACTGTACCAACTCCACAGCCAAGCTGTCGGAAAAGAGAAAAAGCAGGAGGAAAAAAAATGATTGCAGGCCTAAAAGTAGTTGTGTTTGAGATTGACAAATGGTGAGAGAAAAACAGCCTCCCACACACACACACACACACACATTTAACTCAAATTGCCGAGTAAATCGCCATCGGGGTGTGGTGCGAGGCTGCCGCCAGACGCGAAAGGAGGATGAAGAAAAACAACCACTCAAGTTAGTTACAAAACCTCATTTCGACTTTCTACAAAAACTTCAAAATCACATTCTTTGCAGTTAACGAGGGTTCCTTATGGAGGAAAACCTGACGTATACAAATCCCAACTGATGGTTGAAAGTATTTGGGTGAATTCAAAGAAAGCATGAGTTATCACCAAGATCTTTTGGTTTTTTTTTTCTTTTCTCAATAACAATGTAGTTAGTCGACTATTAAAAGCGTTAATGGGGGCAGAAAAAGGTCAATTAGTTAAGTCTGTGCACTCCGCTTTTCTCCAACTCCCAGCCCAACCAAAGTGACCTCGAGAAGAAAATGTTACTTTGTGCTAAAATGTTGAAAAACCGAAAAAAGGTGATAAGTGATTGTCTGGGAGCACGCGAAACAAAACGTTTCAAGTGGTAATAGAAAAAAAATGACAACGTCTATTTCTTAACAAAAAAATTACTTTAAGGAGTTCGTTTAGGAATTTATATGAAAAATGGTGCCGCTGGGAGTTCCGCCTGTTCAATTTGATAATTTATGATGCCCGAATCTGCAGTCGACCAATCAGCAATCGACCAGTTTGATTTAATGAGAGATCAGCTAACAGCGACCTTCAAATCGATCCTTTCAATTAAAAAATTTGAAAAAAAATGAGGATGCAGCCCAATCCTAGTAACTCTGCTAGGCATTTACCAGCTGTCAAAGTTCCAATTATTCAAAAAACACATAAATAGGCACTAGAAGGCCCACAAAATTCCCATTAGCAAATTTCAAAGTCTAGGTTGGTGGGTTAAACAAAAGTTGCGTTGAGTGTAGAAAATGATTGAGAGCAGAATTAACCGAGTTAAATCATGTCGTGAAAGAATATGTGGTGTAATCATTGCCAAACAGTTGTGATGATGACCTCAATAGAATTTAGGGTGGAAAGTTGATGGACTGAAGTAGAATTAAAAGGAAAGCGTCAACAAACTTACGAAAAGCGTCGCTGTCAAGGACGCTAATGTCGAGGGGTTGGGTGAGAGGTGCAGATGAGGATATTGCAATACAGCCGCCGCCATTACTACTGACAGTGGTGGCAGCCGCAGAGCTCAGCATGGAAGAAGTACACGAAGGCTGCGCTGGATGGTACGTAAGAGAGTCAGTCGTGGAAGCCCCAAAATACCCACCACCACCACCACCGCCATCACTGCTACTACTACTACCACCACCAGACCTTGCGGAGTGATTTTCGTAGCCCATTGCCGTCGCCATCTAGGAGGGGAAGAAATCAAATCGATAACCCCAGCGTCCTCCAAACTAGCATCTAGAGAAGGCAATTTGTATCTCATAAACAAAATGACTCCGGAACTTGGATTTGCTGCAAGGTCTATTCCGCTTTAATTAGTCAGTCCCAAGGTCAGACTGGAAGACCAATCATCTGGCAACAATCAAGACAGCGATATTCCCTTATACCGGAACCAAAAACATCAGAAGCAGACTTCTATACAAAAAACTATTATTGCAGATCCAAAACCCGCAAAACTAGTTCACAGGAAAGGATGTCTATCGTTCAGCTCTACAATTATTTGACAATGAAGACAACTAGGTAACATCACAGAGGCTTCTTGTGATGACTCAATTTCGCTACTGTGTTGCATTGCGTTCATTCCTGGTTTCTTATAGGGTTGAATGAAGCATTTTAGCATGCTAACTAACTATCTTTATTCCAGATGACAGGATCAGCGCATGAAAGCCTATAGTAGCTAAGATTTTCGTAGACGGACTTCAAGCCGCCATCCGTCCTTCTTTGTTCTTTCATTACAACAGGTCTATTTATGGCCCTACAAGAAATTGAAATCTTTGTTCTTCTAAACACCTCACAAAAATAACCAGCAAGCACACAGCCAAACAAGGCCAACAATAAAGACAAACAAACAACGCAGACGGGCTCGCATCGACCAATCAACCCTTCGCAAAAACATCGACCTTGATGGCTAGACCGCTGATTGGTTGCCTTATGAGGGCAATTTTTGGTTCAATATTGCAGCCGTTGTTCCATTTTAAGACATGCGGCTGAATTTAAAAATAGGTAACTGCTAGAAAAATAGATCTAACAAGGGACAGCAAACTCACCTGCGGGGCTTGGGGAAGGAGTTGTAACGCCGGCGGCTTTGCCCGGTATTCACCGTAGACATCAGTCCTGTGAAGCATAAGTAGAAATGGAAAGCAATTTAGCAGATGGAGTTAATTGATGCTCTGATACTCCAGCACAGGCGATTTCACTATTCCAGTAATCAGTCTTGTTATCTGATATCGAAAGATGTGATAGTCGAAGTTCACGAATTTGGAATAGAATAAGGATTAAAGCCACTACAGCCAATTTGTTCTTGAGGATGCTTGACCATTCGAAGGGTTTAAGATGGCACCGATTCGTGTAACACTTGTATTCTACTGGTAAAAAATGGTCAGAGACCGCAAGGTACAACAAATCGGCAAAATTAGACGAAAAAATGGGAAATGATAGGCCATAGGTAGGAGGACCGGAAGATAAAAAGGTGCAAAGCTCTGCATACCATGCTACAGCTGCATTGAAGTACGAACTGGCGTCCTCGACAGACGAGAATAGTCATTCCAAGCGTGCATGCTCTTAGTCACCGCACCTTCAAGGTTGACGAGGTACCTTGTAACCAACACTAGGTAAAGTGCCGTTTAGTGGTGTGTCTAGTCTGGCTTGTGATAGCGGCGGGAGGCGGTGGTGAATCACGTATGTCTGTGTGCCCAATTAAAGTGGCAGACACTACAATGAAGGCGATGGCGCGCAGTCTAGCACGTGTGTGAATGTATTAGCACGTGCATTTTCAGGGTTTTTATGACCAACAGAGTGGGACATTACTATTAGAAAATGGCCTTCAACACGAAGCATCGACACGCATCCGCAAAAGGACCGAGTTGACAAAACTGTTTTAACACATGAAATCTATTCAGACCCTATACAAATCCACATACAAAACCAGGCATTCGTTCACCAAGGCCATGTCTGGCTTACAGTGACCATGTCAAGCTCGAGCTCCAATACTGACCAATGGATTTCTAAAAACCTAGTATTCACACTCCCCTTCCACTGATAGAAGCTAGTCACATTCCAATGCGCCATCCAAAGTAGATCTAGAAGTCCAAAACCATCTCCAAGACCTGTAACACAATCAGACTTCCCAAAATTTCAAGGTTATCAAGAGCCATCAAAACTCAACATCGAGTCTTCGATGTAACAGAACACCTAATTCTGAAAATGCTCGAATCTAAGACAGAGTTTGGAAGCCATCCTGATCTCATTTCAACTCTTTAATTAAATGGTGAGGTCAGTAGGTTCGGGAATTCCATTAATAATCCTGTCAAAAGGTTTCGGGTATAGAACGCTGTAACACCCTAATTCCAGGCACAATAGTCCAACCAAAGGTTGCGAACCAAAAATGCATCGAAGGATTGACAGCCGATCTAAGTTACTTCAGAGAGACTACCCCACAAAATCACACACCTATTTTCGACAATAAACCTCTTTAATAGCCCTACGAGGTGCTGCTGACTACAACAAATACCGACCCAACCCACCTTTTCAGCCTCAACGCAGGTGAGGATGACGGTAGATCACAGGCAGACACTGAACTTCCACCACCACCACCACCACCACTACTACCATTCATGGTCCACGTCTGATAGAGATGAGGTATGGGTGCAGGAGCGTAGCCCTCTCCGCCCGCAGTAGGCTGCATCACCAAGGGCTGCGCAGAGACCGCCGTCTGTTGAGGATTGTGATGGTGGTGATGCACCGGAGCGTAGCGCTGTGGAATATTTCGCATACTATGGTAGTCCGACTGTAGACGTCTAAACGGTTGCTGAGAAACGGTGGTGGATGATTGATGACGACAGCGGGAAGATAGTGAACTCCCATTGAAGCATGAAGAGTGAGGACTGTTTGAAGCGGTATTGCTGTTCGCGTTCTGGTAGCGGGGGAGAGTGAGTTCGTCCACTGGTGGGAGAGTTCGTTGATGCTGCCTTTGTTGCTGTCGCTGCTGCTGTATCGGTGGTGGAAGTAATTGTGGCGGCGGTGGTTGTGGCTGGTTCTGCTGGCGGTGATACTGCTGATGTAGTGGAAGACATCGGGAATGATCGGAGACATCGGGAAAACTGCTGGGGATGCATGAATCCGAGTAGGTCCTCGAGGAAATGAGAAGGAGTAGAAATTGAATTCATGGATTGTGCGTGGGTCTTCCAGGTCTTTTATAGGCTAGCAATAAAGCTGCTTCGGGCTTTGCTGGCAAGACTAGATCGAAGAATTGCAGAATGAAAATAGGGAAATTACAATGTTTAGTCATGATGACATCACTACAGCAGTAACACATGATACCTGCTGAAGTCTTTCAAACTACCAGCAACTATGAATTACCATGCTGACAGTACTACATCAGCTGAATAATAATTCCAGGCTCGGAAAAATGGCCGCAAAAGCAATAAGACCTGCCTTGAAGGAACCAAATCTCTCGAGAAACCAGCTGTTAAAATGGAGTAAAGTGAAGGATTCGACAACATCCCGCTGTTTCACTAGGCATCTCACTACCTCGGAACGTCGTAATAACTTTCAGCGCCTCAATACTCACCTTCGGTATTCCACCAAACTCATGTCACCAATCATCGACGCTGCCGTTGATGCATTATTCAAAGCATTGCCCACCGGTTCGCTACCACAATCCTGAGTCCCTGGAAGGCCCCAAGCCGACTGACAAGCATATCCTCGCGACGGTTGCTGGGAGGCTGGCTCTGGTACACCTAGTGGTGGCGGTGGTGGTGGAGGTTGATGGAACTGCGGATGGTGTTGACGGTTTGGAGGGGTGTTTGAGTCAGCGTAGAATTGGGGAGAATGAGGTGAGACAGAAATTGGCACGAGATTTGGTTGGTAGGCAGAGGGAGAAGATGTTTGTGGGGCGTGAAGAGGGGAGATGTGGGAGAGCAAGCTACAAGAGAGGAGAGGAGTCGACAAATGACCTAGGTGTTATTAACTCCACAAATGATCGACGAATAAACTGATGAATTCGACAACTAGCAACAAATTTTGAACAAGAAACTAGCTGAATCTCTTACCCAGGTTTCCCTGACTCTGTAGACGTTACCACCTTCGTCTCTGCCTTCCGTGACTGAGACTGCGATGGCGGCGGTGGTCGCGGCTGTACCTGCAGCTCCATCCCGTCTGTCCGAGGAGTTCGACCCACCCCACCACCACCACCGCCCCCACCTTCACTGTTATTGTATAGGCTAAAATGATTTGACTACAAGAAAGAAGGGTATGAGGGTAGGTATGCAAGCGGACGGTCATACGATAGACTTTGTTCGCATGTGTTGCCATTGTAACAGATAAACACTGAAAAACTTGTCCCAGTCATGTGATCGCCACTAAGCACATGGTTTCGTGAAAGAAAGCGAACTCTACTGTTTACATCGGAGGTCTAATAAGGAAAACGAAGGTTCTAGATGAAATCGGAGCAGACGGATTTAGAATATGTGGATGAGGATGAATTTGAAATGGTGGGATGCACAAAATTATGGAGATTAAATGAAAGCGAAGTGGTTGAACTAAACCATACCTAAAGTGCGGAAACAGAGCAGTTCTTCAGCTTCAAGATTTGTTGAGTATACTTCGATCGATTCATGAAAAGCAGGTCCTAAGTTCCAAGAATTAAAGTCAGCAAAAGATCTGCCTTCGAAACTTCAACCATTGAAACACCTTGGTGGAATTAAATATGATGCCAAGAATGGGGAACAATTGATGTACACTGATTGAGACGTGGATGGTTAGAGGAATGAAATGATGCAGGGCAGCACATACTTTCAGCTCGACACCGTCTCTCATCCTGATGTCAATTTGGGTCTCTCACATGGCAAGCTGGTTTGGTGGCACCAGTGGCACCAAAAATCACACAAACAGCCCCGAGCCAAGTGAATACCGGTAGAGGTGCCGAGTGCTGCCAGATATGGTAAACATCGAATCATTCTACACACCCCCATGAGAATAAAAATGGGAGGATGGAGGACTGAACAGAGGGGAGAAGTAGCTCCTAACCATTCGACACATTTCGCGCAAATCCAACTCAAAGACCTGGTCACCTGAACCATGTCATTAAAGCACATCCCCAGGAAAAAAATAGAATTCGAGAAGTTGAAGAGTTTACGAACATCGATGGAAATCCAAGAGATTAGCGTGACAGAATTGCAAAGACGACATGTAAGGGTTTCTCAGGTGCAGCCCTGACACTCAGCTAAGCTAATCGAAGAAACGACTTCACTATCCTCAGAAGACATCCCCAATCGGAGCATTCACAGACTAAACCATTAAAATAGGAAATTGTTTTCGACCCCTAAAGGAAGATCACGTGTAATGATCCCTGTACACAAACCAGCGCCTACTTCGCTCCTTAAACAAATGCCAGTTGTCACCCATACGATCTACTCAATGAGATCATCAAGCGTAGACGTTTAACCAAAAAAAAACAAAATTAGTCACCAGGCCTACCACTTATAGATACACTTTCTACCCAGCAAGGCAATAAGGCAGAGTGGATGCACCAAAGTAAATCAGAATTTTCAGAAATGGCCGCGGAATTCTGAGTACTAACCCAGTTACTCCATTTCAATCAACTAGATTGACCGCTTTGGAGATTGCTAGTTGTCACCCAAAAGAACCGAACATCAGATCGAAGAATGCCTCCTTCTGCAAATAATTTCTCTCCTACCCTTCATAGGAAATCTGAGAACAGATGGCTATATCAAACGGCAACCCACCTCATAAACGCTAAGATTTGCTCAAATATCAACCAAAAGACCATAAAGGTGCTTTGACTGAAGAAGAGCAATACGATGTGCACAAGGTTGCGATCAAGCTCTGATTAACTTTGTTCCCAATTTTCCCCTCTTAACACGAAGACACAAGGTTTACTTTGCCTTGAAGCCGAATGACAGATGAGAAGAACACAACCATAAACGTAATGATCCAGTCATGGAGATTCAAGGCAACAGGGAAAGAAGTGGACACCCAACTTAATCCCATAATTACGACACCGAAGAAAATAGAACAACTGCTTTACTGAAATCGGCGCTTAAATAAGTAGAAAATAGAGACTAGGTTTTATAAAATTGAATCCCGTTTGTTCTAACTTAATTAGCATGTCTCAACACATCGTCAGGGGAAAAATTTTGGCACATGAATGGAGAAAACATTTAGTCGAAAGGTTCACTCACAAGATATCGGTGAAGAAACACTCTTCCTCGATTTTGCAGGAACAAAAACGCACAATTTGTCTAAATTATAGAAGCTGGCGGTCATGAAAAAATCAAAGTCTAAGAATAATTCGCTCGCAAAGTTGAACTACAAAGGCCAATATCAATCTTCGACAAAATTCCGCTCTAATCAGGAATACAAAAGAGGAGCCCCGTCGCCTTCTGTACGCCACACCAACGGCATGAGTTGGCAAATTTGACCTCTGATTGCAGTAATCCTGGCTCTAAATCATCAAAACGATCCTCATTCACAATTTAAACGAAAGACAGAATAAGCAACTTCACCAGAACAATTCCACATGGGTTCCAAGTACTCATCTGGCTCGCCGCCAGGTAGGACCAGATAAACACTCGATTAACACAACTAATATTAGAAAATGAAAATTCAGCCTCCAGCCACACCTTATACAAGTCAATCAAATCTAAGCTATCGCATGTACCTGTCGATGAGCTTGGATGTGAGCAAAGGAGAGTAGACAAAACGTTACGTCTCCTCGCCCCAACCCAACACTAGCAAAAAATAATGGAGCGTCGCTAGTGCAAGGAGGAAGGTGGATGAAATATCCAGCATGTGATGTTCAGATCCTGAAATGTTTTCAGGAAATCCGTAACCCCATGCATAAACACCACGGCAAGCAAGCAGGTAGGCGAACTACCCAGCTATCTAGTGATACCACATGAGCTATTTTATGCTTGTGTGCGCTCGTGCTGAGCGAGAAACAGACACGCAGCGGAGAAAACACGAAGGATTTTATGCGACTGGCTGGCTAGCTGTCTGAATATCTGTCTACCCACCCGTCTGTCTGTCCGTCCATTTGACGCTGATATGTGCAAGCGTGAGGCCATACAGTGAAGTGGAAAGGATGAAAGCGACAGGCAGACAGGGATCAAGAATGAATGGGTGGGGTAGACGTTACTAATAAACCAATCGATAGCGCCAGATGGTAATAAAAACAATGCTAATGACGATCGAGGGGACACCGTTCTAGTACCATCGAAGCTACCATAAGACGATGCATGATATGGAAATGTGAAAAAAGGTGAAGCTGAAGGGTGTGCTTCCAACAGTGAGTGCAAACGCTAGAAGCTGAGTGCCTGAAAAGGAGTCGAAATCACGTGGAGACCCAACCAACAAAACAACGGGGTAGAAAAGCAACGTCACTTAATAAATGGAGGAAATGCCCGACAATTTACTCGTCCCAGAACATTCCGGAGGGCCGGATAGTCATTTAAAAATGGCAAAAATCATATTCAAAAAAGATGAGAACAACCCACAGACCTGACTAACGAAAGTGACGAAACCTCCCAGAGCATCCAATAAAACTAGGGCCAAAGACTAAACTTTCGTGCGTACTGAATGACCCTTACATTGCCAGTGCTCGACTCGAGAGCATACTGATAGCCGCTAGAATCACCTCTCCGACGAGTATATCCGGAGGATTTACCGGGATCCAATGACAACCTTGAGGCTGGTAAATAATTATCGGATTGTGGAAGGTCTTTGCTGGATAAATCTGGATAGGGTACCACGTTCTATGAAAGTACAATTAATTTATATAAGTAGACATACCCGTGTGAGAGTGGGAATTCCTCGCATAACCTCCATGAAATTTGCTGTTAATTGGGCCTCCTTTTGGCGAAGAAGTTCTATTTTCTCCTTAAATTTACGAGGATTTGTGTTATTATGCGGTTTCCCGGTCATCTCACAAACTGTGGAAAGAGTGTATTTAAGTGGCGCGCAGCAATGAAACAATCTACAGCGAATTTAATTTTGACCTTGACATGGAATACCCTTAAAATAATAAGATACGATCGTATTAACGCGCATATGCTTAAAACTAGATTTAATTCGTGTTTTTATTAACCAAGCATTAATATTACCATTAATAAGGTGGCACATTGATAGTTGAGTTTGAATTATGCTCTCAGCAACAAAATGTTTTAAAAGTAAATAAACTTTTTTGCTTTAGTCAATTTTTGTCGATTTATGTTCGCATTACTGCTGTTATTTTATAATGATGATTGCTTTGGTGGTACAGAGAGTCGCATCCATCTCCTATCCATCCGCTGAATATCCTTCCTTCTGTGTAGTTTTCCTGGTCCTAAATACATTTTTGAGGATGTCAGCTCTAGCTTATAGTACCCTTTCTTTTACTAGTTCCATCCTTAACCTTAATGATTTGAAGGGAAAGACCGATGGAAAAAATTTATTGGATATTTTTTAAATTCCAGTCTGCAAGTCTAGTGGTTCAGCCATGACATATATGCTGGTCTTGGGAAACGTCCTCGAACTCCACCCCCCCGGCATTCCTATTGAATTGCGCCTCATCCCCATTAAACACCATTAGATAGATAGACGTTGCTTCTCAAAACGGTTTTGAGGTCCTCTGCTTCTTATTGAATATACTCCCTCAAAATCTTACTCATTTTTACATGTTGCGTTACATGGTTTTAGCAAATTCTGTTTTCGTAAGCATTATGCTTTGCCAAATCAAGCTCTCGATTTCTCGTCCCGATAAAATCTTTGTCTAGTATCTTAGCGTGCTGAGTCCAAGGGTCAATCCAAGCCGTTGCTGCACTGCCAGTCATAAAATGAGTGGCTTGTAAGTGGGTTAATGTCAAAAAGTTCACTTGGCTATAGATGAAGGTCCCACTAAAACCATTTATCAAACTCACTTCCCGTGCTTTGGTAGGACCACGGTTACTCGACGCGAAGTCATCTCGTCAATGAAGCGGAGAGTGTGGGTAAATCTCATCACGCCTAGGTAACTTTGGAGTAGGAAACTTCATTGCACCGCTCCCTCTGACCTCACTTTTCTGACTCAATGGGATTTATAGTCCAGTAACCTCTTGACTCCTCTATTAGAGATTCCCAGAGAATGCCTCCAAATCTACCTGTTAGATTCTATGCTCTAGATGGCTGGAACGTTTCGCAAGATGCTGCAAGGATTGTTGCAGTGTTTTAGTGTTGCAATTGAATCATAGTTTATTTTTTAGAATGAAGTTCACAAAGATGAGCGTTCATTCAGACAACAAGCACTCTCACTTCCGCCATGGTGAAAACGATTACTTAGGATGAGAAATTTTGACGCTTAAAAAAGGGCTATAGGATCTTGTTTGTCCCCACGTCAAACCTTTTCCATTGCTAGCTTCGCATGTAAATGGAGCTGTAGAATATTGGTCGCATCAACCCCATTCGTGGGCAAGAAAATGATGTCAGAATGCCATGATAACTAACGAGACATTAAAACAGAAAATCGGATTTTATTGCGCGCTCATGAAGAAGACAGGCTCTCAATGATTGTATGTCCCTCTCAGTTTTAGCGAAGACGAACCCAAAAGTTAGACGTTGTTGTTGGTGCTGTTGTGAAGAGAATGATTAGTGTGCCACAACTAGAGACGGTTTGAAGCCTACGCAAGAGTCAGAGCATTAATCAGCATCTTTTTACTGCGTCAGTATGCCAAAGATGGCGTGACATGACCAGAAGCGTGCTCTCGCAGCCATATTTGGGCCCAGGTGACTTAAAATTTATGAGCGTGGATGTCAAACAGGGATTTAATTGATAATAAGTTTTCCTTTTTTACACAATCATCCCTTGCGCAAATGTACGATTAATGGCTTACAAACACGAAGTCATCAAATCACCATGCCAACTTTAGCAGCGACGCTATACTACTAAACACAAATCAGTCTACACCTGGTGTAAGCTCTTCGGCTTGCACGAAGTGCTGACGTCTGACACAGCGTGATTAGCGAACAATCAACCACTTGGTGAACCATACAACTATGGCTCATCAAGCAGCAAGTGACTTAGGTCAAGAGCTCACAGTGACCCATGAAACAGAAAGTACTGCCATCTATCTGGTTGTTAAGGCTACTCCACACACATAAGTTGTGGTTATAAGTGACACTGGAAGGTGATTAGGATTACTGCCACTGGGGCAGCTAAGCTGCAGCACTTTAAAATAGGCACAACTTTAAGGTGGAGTCATTCTGTGGTCGTAATAACAATGTTTTCAATAAAACAGCTTGACAACGACATCCAGCAAACTCATCAGCCTGAGCACCCATGCCAAAGCCTGCCTGGAAAATAGGGGAGCTGACAATATTTGGATTATATTACTAATTTGGCTCAAATGAGTCGTGAGGACTCAAATGGTTTTGGTGGTAGAACAATGAAACTGCATAACTTTAGTGAGGGCGTCAAGGAATTGAGTAAATAAACGAAAAGATCTCCCCAATCGCAAAAAAGTGTACTCATTATTAAGAAGCCTAATAATGGCTAGTCTCCCGAAACTATTGTACAGTCAGTACCCAACGCCTTTTAATGGATCTTTCTGTACACACGAGATTTTTTAAAAAAGCATATGCACATAATTTTCTTCCTATGATGTAAGTGGATCCACTGATTGACATTGTTGTTCAGGGCTTGTGTTTAGGAGGGTGGGGAGGAAGGGAGTAGCAATGCAACTTTTGGTTTTAGGAATGTTTTGAAAGAACAATATTTCAACTGTGAAGAAAAGAGATCGTCAGTCTTTCGCGTAATCACATCTGCATGTGTCAAACACACACTCCTGATCGCATTCCTCCAGTCAATCAGTATTTCTATACTTAAATGCAGGATGTTTATTACCCCATGACATGAGAATTAGAAAGTGAATTTATGAATGATTGGAGGCATTAAGGAGACTCCATTGTATTGTATGGAGACCTCACGGTGAGCATATGCCAAATACACGGATCGTTGTACGCTGCCTCAAGGTCAAGCCGCCCTTTAGCATGCTACATGAGACCGAAATTGGTGTCATAGTGTTTTAAGAGTTAATTTACCATCTAAAATGCGTAAATGAGGAGGTCTATTATTAAACTTATTGCCAGAAGTGTTCAAATCTGATGCGCATCTGCATGTGAAGGTAGATGTCTTCCGATTACCTCACATCTCGGTAGAGCAAGCCCGGTCCTGCTTAAACACATGTTAAATGGACTTTTGAGCTCTTAATAAGTCCTATTTTAGCGCTTTCACTTATCTCGTCCAAGTCAACAAGTCGTGGTAAAGGAGATACATTTATGCACAAGAAAGACTTAAAGTTAATTATGTTTATCAACTGCTACTGTGAGACCTAGAGAGAATTAGAATGGGAAGGTGGGAGGTGATCTTTATCATACCTCTCAGTTCCTTTTCATTCGACCAAAAAGGGACAGTAAAATCGCATTTTAGCAATCGAATGCCAAATAAATAATAACATTTCAACCCAGAAAGGAGGCAATACATTGGGGAAAATAACCAAGTCTTGCTTTCCTCTTTGAAGTTTACTCTGTAATCCAAATATTCGCTGTCTCTATTAATCCTATTCCCGCATTCTTATACTTCTTAATGCAACTCTCAATTTAAGCTATTATTAAGAGAGAAGGAGATACGAGAAAAATGTAAAATGAATGTAATGAAGCTCTGTTTCGTTGAAAGAGTTTTCCATTAGACATTAAATGCAAAGGGAATGTCCTCATAATGCTCTTTCCGGCATTATTGTTTTGTAAAAAGACGCTTAAACAATAAGTTTTAATTCGCAAAAAAAGGAAACTGCCGTCCGGTTTTACTACCCGTTTAGCATCTTCCAGCACCATTTTCGGCGCAGTCTGCAGATGGGACTGTTTACTTGTGTGAGAATAACCGATTAATCGATTTTGTTATCGATCGAATCATAAATCGATACAGGCGGTTGGATGGCTTCACCGGATGAATTATCACAAAACGCACCTCCTGTGTTTAAGCTGCCCATCTGTTCCATTTGCTACAACATTTTACCACATAATCTAGCAGTTATTTGTCACTTTTTATACATTTATTTCGTTTTATTGCATTGCCAAGTTTTCCCTCCGCCCTTGGCTCTTGACTGTCCACCTTCTGCGCCTTTTTGGGATGCTGTATAAAGCTATCGCCTGGATCGCATGGCTTAATTGCGTTGTTCAAAATCAAGTCTGACCGTTTTTAAGGCGGCTTTGTACAATTGCGTTAAAGGAGCTCCAGTGGACAGTTGATGCTGTAGAGCCTCACAGTATAATTGCTCATCAAAACCGTATTCCAATTCTCTTAAAATCGTCTGTTAAGAAACCCTAACAACGCCGAAATCGAAATGGGAAGTCGTGTAACCTTAGTACGTTTTAAGATCGGTAAGTGTTAAAACAGAAAATTAGTCTGTCGCTGTTGACTGGGTAGTAAAATCGGTAGAGGTTACCAACAAGAGGCGGTACTCACCAACCAAAGGGGAGCCATTTGTGTTGATCCGCTCCACATTCGTGCATGCTTTCCTTATGAGTTCAAGTAAAGTAAGAAGTGACCCTTCTGCACGGGAAATGCTTCAAAGACGTGTTGCAAGCCCTATCGCCTTTCTCACGTGTATGCAACTGTAAATTTGTCAGTGTATTGTGGAAGGAGATGGAATGAGCTTTGCACAACTTTTCTCATTGCCTGAATTTGAGCGCCAAAAGCATGCACAGTAAAGAGGGGTGTGTCGATACTGGCATTTTTGATAGAAATAAATAAACGCCGAAATCACATTTTTATCTAACTTCTTCGCTGATTAAAAGCATTGTAGTTCCACATGTAATTCTTTACATACCTTGAAGGGTTGCTATCGTTTGCACTACCTTCTTATCCTTTTCAAAACCATCACCACATGACTATCTACCCTACGGCGTTCTTACATTTCAATCGTCTTTTCTCCTGCTTTTGTTAGTCAAAGCAAAGTCATTCAATGATTGACTTATAGATGCACAAAACGCGGAAAAGTTTTGAGTGGTTGATGGCTTTCTTGCATATTCATACTCACGCATTATTCTGGCCCCACCACCCATCAAGCTGTTGGTCCTTTTAATCATAAATTTATCTATTCGCCTATTCATCCACCATCCATCACCCCTCCCAACCATTCCTCCACTCCTGAATCTTTCCGTCATACATCTTAGAGCGCAATCCAAATCTTCCAATCCATCTTAGCGTATCTTGATAAAATTAAATTTCTATGCACCAATACATCACCCTACAGGTCAGCCAATTAAGCTTATGCGGTTCCTTTCTGGTATTGAAAGACAACCACCAAGGGAAGGCGACAATCACTGGTTTGGATGAGGTACTACCTTCTTCTGTCCCGTTCATTTAGAATAAACCGTTTCATGCGGAAAAAAATTTCTCATAGTAATGATAACGCCGTCTTCGCATTTCCTAACAGAGACAGCGAGACATAAGACAAGCCACAGTTGCGATAAAACGTTATCAGCAACCTGTAATAATTCTTTCCGTCCTGTGTGGGTGATTGAACGCATCCCATCTATGCACTTCTCAATGCCGGCTTTTGTCGCAGATGGTCTCCAGAAGTGGAGCCTACACATTCCCTATCTCATTTCATACAGCCGTGCTTCTACTCCTTTGGTGTCATGCAAAAGTAGAGCCCCATCAACCCTGATGCGAAGACGCCCCCACCTACGTACACCCTACCTACCCATGTTTGGTTGTTAATAGTTGCCAGGGCGTCAACCGACCGAACAAAACCCTTATGGGAGCTATTGAGCTGTCGTCACTTTTATCACTGCTCGCTTTATCGTATTTCTTACCAGGCGGTTCAGCGGTCAACAATACGTTGGCTTTAAACCAAAAAGGGAGGACCCGCACTTGTCCGGTTCGCAAAACGTCAGGGAATTCACATAAATGAAAGACACCATGCAGGAGGAAGATACAATTATTCATCAACGATGATCAATCTAACTTACAACTTAGACTTTGGATCCAATGTTAATGCCAACAGAAAGGACGAAAACATCTGACACGCCTCCACAAAAAACAATTCAATTGACAGCCAGAATCACACCCTAGTAACCAAATTATTATTAACACACACTCACTCAGTCAGAGTGAAGAGAAGGGGCATAGGAATCACGAGTCAAAGAGGCATTTAAATAGAGTTAGTAGAAGTAGTGATGATAGCAATATGTATAGAGAGTGAAATTGAGGTTCGAAAAACACAGCCAGTTTGACTTCGGGGAAAAAGGCTCAACCTTACACGGTAGCACACACTAAGATGGCATGAAAGTATAAAGAGGGAAGAAGGTAAGTTCTAAAATCCAGAACAACAGGCTTTTTTTGGCTCTTGACTGGTGTTTTGCAGCGGAATTGTTGGACGTCCACCTAATGGGACGTTGCTATCGCTATTGGCACTAGAGGATCCTACGAGCTTCGTGATTTCTAGACAAAAGAAAAGAGACTAATTCGGATACTTGAGTAAAAAGATTAAGGAATAGTTTAATTATCGTACGCTTTAGAAGGAAGATGTAAGCCTCATCAACGTTAGTAGAGTCCAGTGCGGATGTTTCAATAAAGTGCAGCTGGGCGCTTTCAGCAAAGGCCTTGGCCTCTTGAGTCGGAACGGTACGAAGATGGCGCAAGTCACACTTGTTTCCTACCAACATTGTCACGATGTTTCGATCACCATTGTCCTTCAATTCTTTCAACCAGACATGGACGTGTTCATAAGTAGAATATTTGGCAATATCATATACCAGAAGAGCTCCAACGGCCCCACGGTAGTAACTAGACGACCACACATAAAAAACGCTTAAAATAAGTTAAACGAAAATTTTGGTCAATGTTTTAGAACACCAACGCACGCAGAGGTAATAGCACGGTAGCGCTCCTGACCAGCAGTATCCCAAATTTGGGCCTTGATGACCTTATCGTCGATTTTGACGCTCCTATCAAAGTCAAAAGTGAAAGAAAAAATCACCTGGTGGCAAATTCGACACCGATTGTTGTTTTGCTTTCTAAATTAAACTCGTTTCGAGTAAACCTTGAAAGAAGGTTGCTCTTTCCGACGCCGGAGTCACCAATAAGCACAACTATGCAAATATTTTTGTTAAAAAAACAAAAGAAACCGAGCCTACTTTTAAAAAGGTAATCGTATTCATCGTCTTTAGAAGCCATTTACACAAGGAAGTACACACAAAAGGAGGATCACACAAGACGTTCAATAAGTCGCGAATTACTGCGGCGCACTGAAAGGGTCAGTGGCATAAATGCAAGGTTCGATTGATCTTTGTCATTGAGATCCAAGCCCCTTCATTGTTTCATTTAAATCACAAAATTACGCTCATAAACACGAACCAAATGTAAACTTATAGATTGCGCATGAACAAATGGGCAACAAAGAATGACGCAAAAACAAAGCGTGCCAGAATTAAAACTTTAGCAGCAGATAATATTGCAAATCATTATTATTATAACAATTGATGAGGAATGAAATAAAGAAGTATGCTGTAATGAACGGATAAACCCCTAAACTTTCATAAACGCCGACGTGATTGACGTAAAACAAAATTTTGCGTAAAAAATTCAATGCTGTACTACTTTGGTTATGTAACTACCTGTCTGGCCCTTGTACACGTCCGCTGGCATTCGGGCCATGCTCAGGCCCTTTTGTCCTGTCATCTTCAGAATACGTGCATCCAGCTGCACTTACTGACTACTTATACCGGCCAGGAGGTCTCAGGACGCTACACTGGTGGCAGTGGAAAGCAAACTCGACATTTTTTAACGAATTTTGGGTGTATAATGTTTTTGAAGACCTTCTTCTGCAACCGAGGTAAGTCTTTCTCTGCGTCTTTTCCTTGGTCGTTTGATAAGTGACAGTGTCAAGGAATATCTATTGCCCAACAGACATCGCTGGTATTCTATGCTTGTGTTACTAAAGTTTGCTAGTTAATCGACTGATTTCCGGAAAAGAACAGTAAGAGCAAGCATACGAGCAATGCTTTGATCGGATGAAGCAATGCTTCAGTACCTGAAAATCACACAGGGTCTCAAGATGTATGCCACCTGTTTCTGGTGTTGAGTATCTATGAACCCGATAAACTGTGGGATCCCGAAATCGGGTGCCCTTGGCTAAAAATTCGAAATCTCTTTTTTCACGACAAGGATTTTATAATCCAACTGACAGACAAGATTGTAAAGGGATTCTATACCTTTATGGTGAGCTCCAAGATTAGTAAGCGCATTCTGGTGTTGTGAGGTGGCAATTATGTGCTATAAATGCGTAGAAGGAAGTCTGGCTCTATTGAAGCGTAGTAGAAGAAGAGGGACGTGAATAGAAGAAGGCGCATTTACCTTGGTGAAGGCGAATCCCTAAATCCTTCACAATGAATGGATTAAGACGGACGTCTGCATTTGCCTTGACCTTATTCCTGTAATCCACAGATCATCTATTAAAGACTGAAGCGACGCCGCCGTGAACTATCTGGTAAAATTTCGTGTCGGAATTTCCCATACAAATTCCGTGTTTAGGTGTCGGAAATGACACTACGGTTCTGCTTACATACGGAACAGCGGCTTATCCCGTTTCCCCTGTAACATGCACTTTCTAGACCAGAGTTCCACCATCTATTTTTGGAAGCAATTGATGGTCAACAAGTAAATGCGGGCTTGTATCTGGTTGGCAGACCGAACGTATCTCCAGATCCAGTCGAAGTTGCCGAGGAGACCAGGTAGGGTTCCTCAGTCTCGTGTAGTCTGCCGACTGGCGCGGTTGGCTTGAGGGGGCTTTCTTGTAGTGCTGAATATTTGTGATGGTTGGCGTGGGAGGTTACCAAAGGGGAGCGTCGAGGACTTCGCTCAAAAGAAGAAAAGGGCAGTGTAATGCTTTGTGTATGTGACCACATGGCCTTTGGCGGCCACTTTAGTATTTGTCTGGCCCTTGCCCACTTGGACTGGCCTTCGAGCCATACTCAAGCCCATTTGTCCTGTCGTCTTCCGAATACATGTATCTAACTGCATTTACTGCTTTCATACACTGGCCAAAAGATCTCGAGATGATGCAAATATCTTTGTTTTTGAATAAATAAATAATTTTTAAACGGTATTATTTTACATCGATGATGGCTGCACTTTTACTTGCCATTAGAAGAACTGCTGATTTTTTCGCAATTACTTTCCTTACCCGTGGATTTTATCCTGGTTGGTTTAGTTAATGAACAGCAGGCATTCTTTAGCTATGACATACTTACAAAATTGCATCACCTAATTCGAAATTGGAATTTTTGTATAGCTCCTTGCAGAAGGCGGAGCTTTTGAGGTGTGGTGGGCTCATTGTTGGGAGAGTTGGTCATGCTGTCGGATGTTATTGTTGCAAGGTGCGTCTGTCTGATTACCTTCCATTCATCTCCTTAGCACCCTCTTTTTTAATGGAGTTGCAGTCCTGAACTTCAATTTGTAAGATCACTTTATTACTAATCAGATATCCAGTAAACCAGATCCTATATTTGATGACGATTCCTTAAGCATGGGTAGGTGATATTTCGGCATAATCGAGTCCTTTCTTAGCCTCAAAGACAAAAAAATTCATATACAATGTTCGGTACTTCCGTATTTTTATTGGAATTTGGAACCTAATAGTCATCGTCCTTATGTTTACGTGGGTTTGCAAATTTTCCTGACGTTTTGTTATTTTAGGTTTTTCGGTGGCTGATTGTGGTCAGCCCTAGATTCATACTTCTTTTTATCTGGTCCTAAATAAATCATTTCTGCCATAGTAGTTATTTTTACTTTTTAAAATACCATTTTTGAATCCTAACGTGGGAGTTTTGTTGATCTTTTAGCTCATGCCTGTCCCCAGTAGTGGTTCTTTTGGTCAGCCTGGTCAACCGTCCTGCTTTCAGCGCATGAAAATGGGTTTCTTAATGGGATTTTGTGTTGGGATGGCTACCGGAGCCATATTCGGTGGTTTCAGTTGTCTACGGTTAGTAGAAGTTAATCTTTCAGTTTTGTAGATATGGTCTCCGGGGTCGTGAACTCATCCAAACTGTCGGAAAAGGGATGATCCAAGGCGGTGGAACCTTTGGCATGTTTATGGCAATTGGAACAGCTATCCGATGCTAACATGTCTTCCCTCTCTTTTCGCTTGTCAATCAGTCGAAGTCTTTAAGCTTTCTGTAATATATCTGTATTTGACATGCGGACACATTCTCGCGATTATTTAAAATAAGATACTTGTTGGTTCTCAACACTTAGATCGTTTGCCACATTGGTTGATGCAACACTCTGATACGCATCCATTTATCACATAACCCTTAGCCATGCATAGTAGTCTCATTATCTCCTTTGTTTCAACGTAGGTCAGCGAGGCTTGCCTGTTTGGACCTATGATTTGTCTTGCTTTGAACAACATCTCTTGTAACTTGCACTTGTCGTGCTGATTCTTCACGTAACCGCACAGAATATGCGCCTCAATATTATGCATAGTTTCCAGCACCATGTTGATCGCCCCTTTTCTTCTGTCTATGGTGTAGAGTCGGCATGGTGGGTATTCATTCTCTGGGATCTTCCCATTGATGCGATCACGATAGACTCCGAGGTCGAATATCATTTCGTCATCACGCAAAGACTGGGAACTTTGTACTTGAAGACGTCCTAGCAGTGAGTCTGCGCTGGACTGCAGTTGGAGTTCTCCAGTACACTTCACCTCTTTCGATGCCTCTTCTAGAGGTGACGGTGGCAGAGGCTGGGAATTGGAGGATCGTTGGCTCTGAAGTTTTTCACACGATTCTTCAGGTTTATTTAGCTTATCCTGCTTGACCTGACACTGATCCGTGCATACGCTAGATGCGGAACTTTTGTTAAGGCACTCCTTTTCGACTGAGGATTTATTTGAGGCAGGTGGGGTTTCTAGGGCTATCTCTCTAGCTGAGTTCTTATCTTGCGAGTTTTCAGGCTCAACGGAATTGACAATCAATGGCGTCTGGCTAGTTGCGATTGCCTCCTGGGCTTCAGGACTTGAGTTCTCCGTGCTGTTTGTATTTGTAGTGTTGTAGACAACGCTGAGGGTGGCTTCTGCCGGCTGGTAGCCTGGACGCATGTCGAAGGCCTTTTCAACTCTGAACACTGTTGGTCCTTGGTTATCCATTGGCGTTGTCCACCGTCTTCAGCAAACTCAAACAAGTGACGGCTAGACACGTGATTGGGCGTGATCAATAACACCTAGATTTTGAAAGTCGTCTTTTCTTTTCGTCCAGCTATCGAGTTAGAAGCAGTGGTGAATGGTGATTCTGCATGGTTTTGTCCCCAGAGTTGAGGTCTTGCCTCGCTTAATGGTATCTGCATTTGAAAGCATTTGTGATGCTAGGTAGTGACCAGTTCCACTTTTTAAAATAGACTCCTTTTTTCTTATGAATGGAAGATCTTTTATTTGACTACTTGGAAGCTTTCCAACCTTCTCTCATGGGGAGAGCGCTGGTCCTCGGTGAATCCGTCCAGATTGCACTAGGCGGCAACGACTAGCATTGGTTAGCTCCGCATTTGCTGCGAGGCTTCAGAGTTACCCATCTAAGTTGCTCTCGACATTGTCTTATATAGGGACCTTATCCACCCACCTGACCCTTATGATCAAATCATTGATGTGTACTTCTTGCACCACTCTTGGTTTTTTGATTTGCTGTTTTCTAGTAGACAGAAGCTGAGATCGCATAAGCCACAACGTCAACATCTCTACTGATTTGAGTTCCCCTTAAATAGGCCACTTGCAGTTGTCACTTCTCGCTTGACTCGCCTGGGGCTGAAGTAGGAATGACGGTTGCTCTCTTATCACACTCATTAATTTTAACTACGCCACTGTCGCAGTAGCATAGTTGAAGGTTTTATTGACCCCAGAATGAGAGCTCAAAATGTCAGTCAAACCTTACTCTGTCCAATGGCATCGGGATTCACCATAATTACCGAATTATCACGCCTTAATCATTACTCCTTTGTTTCCAGAATTTTCGAGATTCCCCTTCAGAAAGCAAAATAAAACGTCATAAGTTCCGAATGATTTATTGTTTTGGATGTTCATTCGCCGGCTAGACATCGTTTCAATATCTCTGATATTGCATCTACGAGGGAAATAAGGTGAAAGAGGAGTGGGTTAATAAATCAACACGGCGTAGATGCTCTTCTTGTGCCAAGAAACAAAATGCTACTCACATTTTTAAAGTAGGGTATTTGTTTTTTCTATTGTTTACAGCGATTCATTGCCGATTGGGCCTTAGAAACTAGACAGGCTAATTCTTCATGAGAAAATAAACCATTGTCGATCCAACTTTGGGTGGTTTGCAGGAAGGATGCATTTTTACGTTGACACCCCGGCGCCAGAGCAGCATTACTCCTTTCCAGAGCTTTCTTATATGCCTCAAGATACTGATAACTCTCTGAGATAGAATTTAGTAGAGCCTGCTTCTTGTCCTTAAAGTTCGGACATAATGTAGCCTCCTTCCCACAGGAATTCATACCCTTTAGTCGCTTAACCATATCCTCTTCGCAAACTGCGATGTCTTTGATGGGTCTGCGCTGAAACACCGAGGCGTTTAGGCAACCGTCTTTGAAAGCGCTTGCCGCTCGATAGTTAGCAAAGAACTGCTCGTTAGCCTTTTCATTATCTTCAATCTCCTTCTCCTTCCTCTGAATCTCTGGACCGATCACATCTCGAATCAACGCATTGATTTTTAGTTCAGCTTTCTGTCTTGCCTTTTCCTCAACATTACCTGATAGATCGGGCTCTGGAACGGTTTTCTGCCCAATCCTACCTCCAGAACCCATTCCCCAACAAGCGTTGCTCTCTGCACCCCCTTTCGCTCCCTTTTGACACGATTGGAATCCAAGACCAGCTGTGTTCTGAGTCAGATTGACAAGGGCCATAGGACCAGTGTTTGTTGGATCCCTTGGTTCACAGTAGTCAGGAGGGCAGGTAACGTTGGCACTTGGAGGTGGAGGAGGGGGTGGAACACATCCACCTCCAGCTTGTTGCGGTGGCTGTTGGCATGGATTGCCAAACATGTTTCCACCATAGAAGTTTCCAGGTGATTGCTGTTGTCGTGGAGGACAGAAATTGGCTGGGCTTGACTGTCCACCGTAACAGTAGCCTCCGCCACCAGCAGAAGCCTGCTGTCTTCCATAATCCTGACCGCATTGGGTACCACCGCCATAAGGAGAGGATTGATATTGTCTGGAGTTGTAGCAGTTTATCTGCTGTTGTGGCATAAATTGGGACCTCTGTTGACAGGGATTGTTTCCTCCTCCTGGACCCTGGTTGTAGGTTGGTTTCGTCTTGCAGGGATCCTCCTTTTGGATTCCAGTTGGTGAGTTACACAGAGTTCGGTCCATTTCAAACACTGACATCTTCTCCAAATCACGGGAGTAAAGTTTAAATCGCTTGTCACTCGATGTCAAAATCAATTAAGCATGTGGTCACGTGTATCTTCAGAGATTCTGAATTCCACCATTTGCGCGGCTCTATTAATTACCTCCTACTTGGCATTATTAGTAGTGTGTTTTAATTATTAAAATAATGCCACTTTAAGTCGTGGGATTGCGGCCTGCAGATTAATAGCTTGCAAAGACCAACGAATTGAGTAGACAGAAGAATTTGAAGCGTGACCACTGAGGTTGCCATTTGTCTTGTGTCACGAAATGTCAATTCGCTTTAGCGTCTTCGTCTATAACACCGGGTACTCATCTACGTCCCGGCAATTTATATTGTCGAACATGCAATTCATGAATAGCTCCGTGCATTTGTCGGAAGAGGAGACTATTGAGCAAAGTCAGGGAGCGATGAGCAGAAATAGTGGATGGAATGAGGTAATGATGGCTGGATAGGTAGGTGGGTCGATGGAGAGTGGTAGGTCAGAGAGCACGATTTTAGGCCCCAGAGTGAATGTTATCCCCGTTCGAGGGGAAAATAAAAGGAAACAAGAAGTACACATTACGTTCTGAGTAGTTCTCCGTCTGCTTGAGTTTACTTACCTCATCGAAGTTAAGGCTAAGGGTGGAGCTAGCCGCCGACTTAATTAGAGGCACTTTTCTCCGTGGCAGTCTCCCACAACGAAAGACGCTATAGCTAGGCGTTAATTGCCTAAAATTACGGTCTCCGTAGGAAATGAGGAGAAAATGAGTCCATCCAAAAATATCTGCAAAGAAATTGCTTCAAAGCCAGGCACGTGATAACCACGTTTTTCAATTAAACATAAAAATACCATAACTTAACTGAACTT